GTGTTAAGATATTCAATCTTGGGAGAATACTGAGCGAGAATCAGATGACTGAAGACGAAAAAGTGTTGGGAAAAACTAAGTAATGATAAATTATAAGAACCTTTTAAGCACAGTAATACATTGGTATAAACCTTGGTAATAAATACCAACAAGTTGGTTTAGAAAGACACGTAAGCAAACACTATGACGTATTTATTAGAAAACGTTTCTGTCCTGGGACCTTGATCACTTCTGTGATCAAGATCTGAAGTGATCAAGGTCCCAGGACCGAAACGTTTTCTAATAAATATGTCATAGTGTTTGCTTACGTGTCTTTCTAAACCAACAGTAATACATTACCTTATTGTACATGACAAGTGTGAAATAAAGACTTATAGTGAAGATGTTATTATCACCTTAAGATATGTAGGTATACAGCACCACGAAGTTATTATTAATCTGGGTAAATACAACTTGCCTTTTTATTTAGGTTATAAAAGAAGTCACAATGTAAAGCTTTTTAATATAGAAATAATACCTTGTGAATATATTATTAAAACTATCTTCGGAATATGGGATAATAAGGATAAGTAATAAATATCGAATAACAATATTAAAATATTTGAAAAACTATCTTAAAGAAGTGCAAAGATATGTTAGGGATGACATGGAGAGAGACGGCGTGTAACACACTGGAGAGAGACGGCGTGTAACACACTGGAGAGAGACGGCGTGTAACACACTGGAGAGAGACGGCGTGTAACACACTGGAGAGAGACGGCGTGTAACACACTGGAGAGAGACGGCGTGTAACACACTGGAGAGAGACGGCGTGTAACACACTGGAGAGAGACGGCGTGTAACGCACTGGAGAGAGACGGCGTGTAACACACTGGAGAAAGACGGCGTGTAAGACACTGGAGAGAGACGGCGTGTAACACACTGGAGAGAGACGGCGTGTAATACACTGGAGAGAGACGGCGTGTAACACACTGGAGAGAGACGGCGTGTTAACCACTGGAGAGAGACGGCGTGTAACACACTGGAGAGAGACGGCGTGTAACACACTGGAGAGAGACGGCGTGTAACACACTGGAGAGAGACGGCGTGTAACACACTGGAGAGAGACGGCGTGTAACACACAGGAGAGAGACGGCGTGTAACACACTGGAGAGAGACGGCGTGTAACACACAGGAGAGAGACGGCGTGTAACACACTGGAGAAGAGACGGCGTGTAACACACTGGAGAGAGACGGCGTGTAACACACAGGAGAGAGACGGCGTGTAACACACAGGAGAAGACGGCGTGTAACACACTGGAGAGAGACGGCGTGTAACACACTGGAGAGAGACGGCGTGTAACACACTGGAGAGAGACGGCGTGTAACACACAGGAGAGAGACGGCGTGTAACAAACAGGAGAGAGACGGCGTGTAACACACTGGAGAGAGACGGCGTGTAACACACTGGAGAGAGACGGCGTGTAACACACTGGAGAGAGACGGCGTGTAACACAGAGAGAGAGACGGCGTGTAACACACAGGAGAGAGACGGCGTGTAACACACAGGAGAGAGACGGCGTGTAACACACAGGAGAGAGACGGCGTGTAACACACAGGAGAGAGACGGCGTGTAACACACTGGAGAGAGACGGCGTGTAACACACTGGAGAGAGACGGCGTGTAACACACTGGAGAGAGACGGCTTGTAACACACAGGAGAGAGACGGCGTGTAACACACTGGAGAGAGACGGCGTGTAATACACTGGAGAGAGACGGCGTGTAACACACTGGAGAGAGACGGCGTGTAACACACTGGAGAGAGACGGCGTGTAACACACTGGATAAAGAGGGCGTGTAACACACTGGAGAAAGACGGCGTGTAACACACTGGAGAAAGACGGCGTGTAACACACTGGATAAAGAGGGCGTGTAACACACTGGAGAAAGACGGCGTGTAACACACTGGTGAAAGACGGCGTGTAACACACTGGTGAAAGACGGCGTGTAACACACTGGAGAAAGACGGCGTGTAACACACTGGAGAAAGGCGGCGTGTAACACACTGGAGAAAGGCGGCGTGTAACACACTGGAGAAAGACGGCGTGTAACACACTGGTGAAAGACGGCGTGTAACACACTGGAGAAAGACGGCGTGTAACACACTGGAGAAAGACGGCGTGTAACACACTGGAGAAAGACGGCGTGTAACACACTGGAGAAAGACGGCGTGTAACACACATCTTTAGATTAAAACGACGTTTAAATTACGTAGCATTATCCTTTATAATGTAATTCTTAACAAAGCCGCAGTGGTCTTCATTTATAATGTAATTCTTAACAAAACCGCAGTGGTCTTCATTTACAAGTTGTTACTTTAGAGATGATAATAAATATTACATAAATTATAAAAATAAGTAACTTAGTATGGGGATAACCGAGTTAAAAGTAACTAAGAAAAAACTCGTAAGAGAACATTTACAATTAGAGAGAAAATGACATCGTGATGTTACAGGTATGTGAGATGCAGTAAATAAATTTAACTTTAAACAAGACAAACAGTAGAGAGTGACAAGACAAACAGTAGAGAGTGACAAGACAAACAGTAGAGAGTGACAAGACAAACAGTAGAGAGTGACAAGACAAACAGTAGAGAGTGACATGACAAACAGTAGAGAATGACAAGACAAACAGTAGAGAGTGACAAGACAAACAGTAGAGAATGACAAGACAAACAGTAGAGAGTGACAAGACAAACAGTAGAGAATGACAAGACAAAAAGTAGAGAGTGACAAGACAAACAGTAGAGAGTGACAAGACAAACAGTAGAGAGTGACAAGACAAACAGTAGAGAGTGACAAGACAACAGTAGAGAGTGACAAGACAAACAGTAGAGAATGACAAGACAAACAGTAGAGAGTGACAAGACAAACAGTAGAGAATGACAAGACAAACAGTAGAGAGTGACAAGACAAACAGTAGAGAATGACAAGACAAACAGTAGAGAGTGACAAGACAAACAGCAGAGAGTGATAAGACAAACAGTAGAGATTGACAAGACAAACAGTAGAGAGTGACAAGACAAACAGTAGAGAATGACAAGACAAACAGTAGAGAGTGACAAGACAAACAGTAGAGAATGACAAGACAAACAGTAGAGAGTGACAAGACAAACAGTAGAGAGTGACAAGACAAACAGTAGAGAATGACAAGACAAACAGTAGAGAGTGACAAGACAAACAGTAGAGAGTGACAAGACAAACAGTAGAGAATGACAAGACAAACAGTAGAGAATGACAAGACAAACAGTAGAGAATGACAAGACAAACAGTAGAGAATGACAAGACAAACAGAAGAGAGTGACAAGACAAACAGTAGAGAGTGACAAGACAAACAGTAGAGAGTGACAAGACAAACAGTGGAGAGTGACAAGACAAACAGTAGAGAGTGACAAGACAAACAGTAGAGAGTGACAAGACAAACAGTAGAGAGTGACAAGACAAACAGTGGAGAGTGACAAGACAAACAGTAGAGAGTGACAAGACAGACAGTAGAGAGTGACAAGACAAACAGTAGAGAGTGACAAGACAAACAGTAGAGAGTGACAAGACAAACAGTGGAGAGTGACAAGACAAACAGTAGAGAGTGACAAGACAAAACAGTAGAGGAGTGACAAGACAAACAGTAGAGAGTGACAAGACAAACAGTAGAGATTGACAAGACAAACAGTAGAGAGAGACAAGACAAACAGTAGAGAGTGACAAGACAAACAGTAGAGAGTGACAAGACAAACAGTAGAGAGTGACAAGGCAAAGAGTAGAGAGTGACAAGACAAACAGTAGAGAGTGACAAGACAAACAGTGGAGAGTGACAGACAAACAGTAGAGATGACAAGACAAACAGTAGAGAGTGACAAGACAAAGAGTAGAGAGTGACAAGACAAAGAGTAGAGAGTGACAAGACAAAGAGTAGAGTGACAAGACAAAGAGTAGAGAGTGACAAGACAAAGAGTAGAGAGTGACAAGACAAACAGTAGAGAGTGACAAGACAAACAGTAGAGAGTGACAAGACAAAGAGTAGAGAGTGACAAGACAAAGAGTAGAGAGTGACAAGACAAAGAGTAGAGAGTGACAAGACAAAGAGTAGAGAGTGACAAGACAAACAGTAGAGAGTGACAAGACAAACAGTAGAGAGTGACAAGACAAACAGTGGAGAGTGACAAGACAAACAGTAGAGAGTGACAAGACAAAAAGTAGAGAGTGACAAGACAAACAGTAGAGAGTGACAAGACAAACAGTAGAGAGTGACAAGACAAAGAGTAGAGAGTGACAAGACAAAGAGTAGAGAGTGACAAGACAAAGAGTAGAGAGTGACAAGACAAACAGTAGAGAGTGACAAGACAAACAGTAGAGAGTGACAAGTCAAAGAGTAGAGAGTGACAAGACAAACAGTAGAGAGTGGACAAGACAAACAGTTAGAGAGTGACAAGTCAAAGAGTAGAGAGTGACAAGACAAAGAGTAGAGAGTGACAAGACAAACAGTAGAGAGTGACAAGACAAACAGTAGAGAGTGACAAGACAAACAGTAGAGAGTGACAAGTCAAAGAGTAGAGAGTGACAAGACAAAGAGTAGAGAGTGACAAGACAAAGAGTAGAGAGTGACAAGATAAACAGTAGAGAGTGACAAGACAAACAGTAGAGAGTGACAAGACAAACAGTAGAGAGTGACAAGACAAACAGTAGAGAGTGATGTTATACAGTTGTCAGCAGTAATGTTTTACTTAAAGTGCGGAAAATTTTGCCTGTGTGAGGTAACATATATTTTAGTTGTGAACTGTCTTGTCGAGTACCTAAACATCGTCTTTATGTGAAAATTTCTGAACTTGTTGAATTCAGACACTCAGAAGGTATCCCACGAGAAGTTCAAGACAGAATTCAGACACTCAGAAGGTATCCCACGAGAAGTTCAAGACAGAATTCAGACACTCAGAAGGTATCCCACGAGAAGTTCAAGACAGAATTCAGACACTCAGAAGGTATCCCACGAGAAGTTCAAGACAGAATACACATACACTCAGGAAGTATCCCATGATAAGAATTACAAACATTCCCTGAAATGCAGAGAACATAATTAGTTATTGATTTTAATATATTTAAAAGGATGTTTATATCACTCCTGACAATATATAAACACATATTAATAAATTAAGAATTTAATTTTATTAAACATACATATTTTTTAAATTTGAATACAACTTATTACCCAAACATTATTGATGGAGAGAGTTTTGTTGACAGTGATCTTGTTAGGCGCACCGTAACATATAGTGGAGTTTCTTTCTTCAGTTTTGAGCCATTGAAAAAATAATCCAGCCTCCGTCATCGACATTATTCTGTGGATCCAGAAACATATTCTGAAGTACGATTGAAAATATATTCTATAGCATTACTGTGTATGTAATCAGTAATATGTTGACGAGTGAGTCGACTCGCAGTAATCACCGCCACTCCTTGAAACTTCAAGAATGGTCACACCGGGCTAATCATACCTTCTCGAAAAAAACTTTTGCAAATACTACCATATCTTTCCATTTCTTAATTTCCTCAGTTTAAGGAAAAGTAACTTCTGATAACCCTAAAGATCGTTTGTTAATTTATAAATGTTGGCTGAAACCTGCATGATCTGGTACACTGTAATGATTTCTTCCACAGTATTTTTCTCTTTGTCATCTATAAAGTTTTCTTTCTTTCGTGTTTCCTCTCAATACATTCTTCATAGATCCAGGACTTTCCATAGTTTCAAGACATACTCGAATATTCCCTGGAAGAAGTCTTCCTATGAAGGAATCATTGAAGTAAGTAAATATCTTCAAGTCTGCCAGTAAGGAGAACTCTGTTACAGTTATTCAGCAAATGTGCTGAATAACTGTGTAGGTATTGTACTGTGTATAGGTAAGTGCTTACCTATGTTTTTAGATAAATAAGAGTCATGTGCAACAGTTAGATATCGTTTCTGCGAAACGTTTCGCCTACATAGTACGTTTCTCTACTACTTCTGCTGCCTCCTCTACAGAGGAGGCAGCAGAAGTAGTGGAGACAGAGACGATGTAATCAGTCCATCACCCTCGTAGAAGTATTTCTCAGTTGGTTAGTACCTCATCCTGGAGAAAAGCTCTGTTCCATAGTCTTGGAACAATATGAAGCTGAAGCAACAGAAGGAGACACTGAACATACTGCCGAAGGTGAGGTGCAAAAAATCTTGAAGACAGAAGAAGGGCGACCCACTAGAAGAAGCAAGAGGGTAATATTTAAGAGGCACTGTAATCAACCTACTGGATAGGTCTCTCTTAAATCCAACTTTTCTCCCTCATAATTAGTGGTCAGGCAAGACAGTTGTCGATGTCCTCTGTACCAGGGTATCACTGTGTTGCAGTATCTCTCACACGCTTCTGCTGCCTTATCTGTGTTCCACTGGAGAAACCTACTGTGTAGGCGGAACATTTCGGCATACAGATACGTAACTGTTGTACATGTGTCCTACGTATCTACATGAGTGTATGTGTACTCACCTAATTGTGGTTGCAGGGGTCGAGACTCAGCTTCTGGCTCCTGTTTGTGTGTGTGTACTCACCTAGTTGTACTCACCTAGTTGAGGTTGCGGGGGTCGAGTCCGAGCTCCTGGCCCCGCCTCTTCACTGATCGCTACTGTGTGCGTTTGTGTGTGTGTGTGTGTGTGTGTGTGTGTGTGTGTGTGTGTGTGTGTGTGTGTGTGTGTGTGTACTCACCTAATTGTAGTTGCAGGGGTCGATACTCGGCTCCTGGCCCCGCCTCTTCACTGAACGCTACTAGGCCCTTTCTCTCCCTGCTCCATGAGCTATATCGTACCTCGTCTTAAAGCTATGTCTGGTACCTGCCTCCACTACATCGCTCGCCAGACTGTTCCACTTCCTGACCACTCTGTAACTGAAGAACTGTTTCCTAACATCCCAGTGACTCATCCGAGTCTTCAACTTCCAAGAGTGACCCCTTGTTTCTGTGTCTCCTCTCTGGAACATCTTGTCTCTGTTCACCTGGTCTATTCCAAGCAGTATTTTGTACGTCGTTATCATGTCTCCCCTATCCTTCCTGTCCTCCAGTGTCGCCAGGCCGATTTCCCTCAACCTTTCTTTGTAAGACATTCCTCTTAGCTCTGGAACTAACCTCATCGCAAACCTTTGCACTTTCTCTAATTTCTTAACATGCTTGACCCGGTGCGGGTTCCAAACTGGTGCTGCATACTCCAGTATGGGCCTGACGTACACGGTGTACAGTGTCTTGAAAGATTCCTTACTTAGGTATCGAAATGCTAATCTCAGGTTTGCCAGGCGCCCATATGCTGCAGCAGTTATCTGGTTGATGTGTGCTTCCGGAGACGTGTTCGGTGTTATAATCACGCCAAGATCTTTCTCCTTGAGCGAGGTTTGCAGTCGTTGGCCACCTAGCCTATACTCCGTCTGCGGTCTTCTTTGCCCTTCTCCAATC